GTTCAGAATGGTTTGATCCCTATCCAGCTGAATTCCTGAGAGGAGACGAAATCCAGGTCTCCTACTCCTCCGCCATCTTGCTCCGCCCCCCTTTTCTTCGATTTCCTTTTGAGTTCATAGGTGTTCAGAATGGTTTGATCCCTATCTAGCTGAATTCCTGGGACCAGATGAAATTTAGGTCTCCTACTCCTCCACCATCTTGCTCCTCCTCTAAAACATTAACTTCAAAAGACTAAATAATCATTGGATAAATGCCATGAATTCTCTGTGCTGCATTCCCCTAGCGCTGGGATTTTGCTTTTCTCATTGATCGCGAAACTTGTTCTTGGCTGGATGTTCTTGCTGATCTTCTGGGGAGGGGCCTGTTGCTGTGGTTCTCAAATGTCTTTGCCTGAGGTGGAATTGCCCAGCTCTTGCCAGGGGCCAGGCTAAGTAATCTGCTCGTGTTTGTTCTTGGTAGCTTTTGTTCTCTGAATGCTTTCCATACAGCTTTGGAGGACGATAGTGGAAATGGACTCCCACTCTCTTGCCCCAGAGGAGCCGAGAGCTCGGGGCCCCACTCTTCTATGTGCCCTCAGAGAAAAGCAGTCAATCACTGTCTCCCTGGTCTCTGGCCACACTCCGTGCTCACCCAGCTTGTGACCTAGCATTTCTATCTCTGGCACACTCCGTTTGGAGTCTCCAAACCTGGCAGATTCCTGTGGTGCGTTCCAGTGCCACTCCTCCCAGGGTAGGAAGGGGAGTCTTCCTGGATCTGCCGCTTCTTGGGTCCCTGCTGCAAGAGTAGTGGCCTGACTGGGCCGCGGATCACGGTTTATTGCCACCCCAGCTGAGGGCCCACTCCTTGGCTCCGTCTCTGCAGCCAGCTTCCCCGCTCTGATATCTGGGAGCTCTGCTGCACTCGGGCACCCCTGCTCTTTCTGTGACCCCAAGGGTCCTGAGACCACACAGTCCCAGTGTGGGTTCCAACTCCCGCTTAGCCGCTGGAGCGACGTCCCTCAGCGGAGCAGACTTCTAAAAGTTCCAGTTTTGTGCTCTGCTGCTCTATCACTTGCTGGTAGCTGGCTGACAGAGGCTCCCCCCACCCCATCTATCTTCCCACATATTGCCTCGGATTCACTTCTCCACACGTTCTACCTTACAGAAAGTGATCACTTTTCTGTTCATCGAATTGCTGCTATTCTTTTCTTCGATCTCCTTTTGAGTTTGTAGGTGTTCTGAATGGTTTGATAACTATCTAGCTGAATTCCTGCGGCCAGACAAAATTTAGGTCTCCTATTCCTCCACTGTCTTGCTCCAATTAAATTTTTTGTTTAAGAAAATGACTTGGATCTTTGGGGGTACTTATGGAATTAAGTAGAAAAATCCTAGAATGCTGAAAAACTCACATTGGAAGTTACTGTTCTGACCTGAAAATTGGGAAACTGAGCTGAGGGCAAGTCAAGCCTGTCTTGACCAATGATTAGCTGTGTTTTTGCAGTTTTGCGCCAAGGAGCTCAATTATGAGCTTCCAATCTCTCACGGTTCCCTAAGCATAGTTACTGTTCACTTTACACAACCTTCTTTTGGATTTACTTTCCTAGTCCAACCAAACTGCAGAGTTTGTCCCTGGCATTAGCTGCTTCTGTTGAAATCTCAGCACTGTGGTCTTGGGCAGGTGACTTAACCCTTTGTGCAAATATTTCCTCAGTAATCAGAGTTCATAAGTATACCTATATGATAGAGTTGAGAAATCAGTGAATTACTCTGATATATTTAAGGGTTTGGTACTCGGGTTGGCATATATTAGATCCTGAGTTACCGTCACTGTCTTCAGTCATCATCACATTGTCATATTTGTCGTCATTGTCATCATGACTGTTTTTCACACTAATACTTCCTGTCCTATCATTCCTCCTAGATAAGCATCCTCTTCTCACTTTTCTTCACATTCTTTATTCCCTCCTGTAAACAATCTGAACCATATTTTAGGTTACAATCTTGTTCATACTTGGCCTCTTCTCCCCACTCTTACCCAATTTGTAGGATATTCTCTTTATTCTGTTTCTTGTAGCTGAGATTTAAAATTTTTGGCCATTAATTCCCCTCCCCCCAAGGTAAATTTGAAGCTGTTTGTAATCATGTTTATTTGGAAGAAATTCAGTTTTTGATAGTAGATGCCACATTTTCAGTTTATTTTTTCTGTTCTATTCTGAAATCTATTAACAAGGGACCTAATTTAAATATCTATTATTTCAAATTCAGTCTTTGCTGCTGTAGCACATGACAAAACATGAGAATGTATGTTTTATATTCTTGTATCTACTGGGTATTCATTTATTTGTTGATTTTATCCGTATATGATAATTAAGGGTTTTTATTAGTAAATATAAAAGAAGAGTTTTCTAAGATATTTAAAAGTTGTTTTATTGAAACAGCTACAAAACTGAGTGGGAAATTTGAAGATATTTTTCTGACTTCATTTTCTGCCAATTTTATTTTATAGGAATCAAGAATCCAGTCTCAGTTGCAAACAGACTCTTGTGTGAAGGGCAGAAGGGCAAGCTCTCGGCTGGCCGAATTCCTCCCTGGTAACTGCTTTGTTCTGCCTGACTTTCCTTGGGTCTTTGGTCTTTGGTGCATGTGGTGTTTGAAGGCTATTTTTATCCACAGAAGGCTGATGTTGCTGGTTACACACCAGCAGTAGCTTGCCGTTGAGAGGAAGACACTTTGTTCTATAATCTTGGAACATTTTGTACACTTGCTAGAGCTTCAGATGCAATAGAATATTACAGATTAAAGCAGAAAAGAGATCAGAGTTAATTTTTGGTTTTGTAGTTGATTACAGAGATGTTTTTGCTGTTCCTAAATGCACAGTTGGGGTCTTTTATTATGAAACTTTTGAAGTCCAGAGTCCAAACTAATTTTAATTTTGAGATGATCTTAGAATAAAAGTACTTAATTTTTCTCTTCTGGAGAAAAACATTGTGATGTTAAGGTTAGTAAGATTACATTTTTCTCCAGCATTAACATACAATTTTCATTAAAAAAAACTGAACTTTTCAAGTATTTGTAAATATAAAGAGAACATTGTAAAGAGCCCTCATGAACCTGTCATCCAGCTCCAGTAACTAACATGTTTTTGCCCTTAATCTATACTCAGTCTCTCTTTTTCCTATAGTATTTTTTTAATTTAAAAAAATTTTTTAGAGTTTATTTTATTCATTTATTGATTTTAAGCAATCTCCACACCCAATTTGGGGCTCAAACTCATGACCCGGAGATCAAGATTCCCATGCTCCTCCGACTGAGCCAGCCAGGCACCCCTTTCCTATAGTATTTTAATGGAAATCCTTGACATGATATTTTTTACCCTTAAATAATTTTGTGAATTGCTCTATGTTTACAAAACATAATCATCATTCCATTAGCATGCCTAATAATAATAACAAATATGCTTCAATGCCACTACACTTCAGTTTATGTTCAGCATGCCCAGCTGTGAAGGTTATATTAATGTTTTGTTGAAAGTTGTGACAACAGTACTGTATCACTTTGACTGTTATAATTTGAAGTCATAGAAAATAAATTAGTATAGTTTTGAAAAGTCTTGAAACCTCTTACCCAAATATACTCAAGTAATCATTTTAATCATATACTTGTCAGGTGTTTAATTGTGATACTAGAGAGGTCAATTTTTAAAATTTTTGAAGAACTACAGTTTTTAGTGTTTGTGTCTTCAATAAGGAAGGATAAGGAGAAGCAAATGGGAAATTTTGAGATTGTTTATAATACGTGTTTTGTTGATTTATAACTCTGAAAGTCGGAAAAGTAGGAAAAGTGATTAAAGAATTTGAAGCTCCCTAGACTAAAACCTTTTTTTTTTTTTAAAGATTTTATTTATTTATTTGAGAGAGAGACAGAAGTAGTGACAGATAGCATGAGTGGGGAGGAGAGGGAGAAGGACCCTGGGATCATGACGTGAGCCAAAGGCAGATGCTTAACCAACTGAGCCACCCAGGTGCCCCTAGACTGAACCCTTTCTAATGGCATCCTTATCCTTCCCATTGTCCCGCACCCTTACCCTGACTCTGTCTCTGCCCCTGCTCCTAGGGGCAGTTGTCTTGATTTTAAGCTTCTCTTATTCCCATATATTCCTTCATAGTATTACAACATAGACAATACTCTAGTTTTTTAATGCTGCATATAGTATATATGTACATAGATGTACAAAGAAGGCCTGGAAAGGTTATCAAACTCACTGTGGTTAACCTCTGTGAAGAAGGAAGGAGGGAACAAGATGAAGCAGTTTTCAAAGGGGAACATGTGCAGTATTTTTGTATTTTACAAAGATAAATTATATGGGAAAAAGTGATGGCCATCTCTCCATTAAAATGATATCATATTGTGATGCTACACTTGTCTGCAACTAGCTGTCTTATTTTCTCATGTACATAGTTCTTAGCTTTATTCTTTGTTTTCAGAATTGTTTTGACCATTTTAGGCATTTTGCATTTCCATATGAATTTTAGAATTACCCTATTTCTAGAAATACCCTGCTAGAATTTTGATTAGGATTGCATCATATCCATTTATTAAAGTTTCATTTAACCTCTCTGACCAGTGTTTTATAGTTTTCAGTGTATAGGTCTTACACAGCTTTTATCAAATTTATACTTATTTCATTCTCTCTTCTTTTAAAAAAGATTTTATTTATTTGAGTGAGAGAGACAGAGAGCACATGAGTGGGGGGGAGGGGCAGAGGAAGAGGGAGGGAGGGAGGGGCAGAGGAATAGGGAGAGGGAGAAGCTGACCCCCTGCTGAGCTTGGAGCCTGATGCGGGGTTTGATCTCAGGACCCTGAGATCACAATCTGAACCAAAAACAAGAGTCAACCGCTTAACTGACAGCGCCACCCAGGCGCCCCAAGTATTTCATTCTTTTTGATAGTATGATAAATTATGTATATAATATGTGTTAATTTCCAGTTGTTCCTTGCCAATATAGAAATGTTGTTATTATTATTATTATTATTATTATTATTATTATTATTATTACATTGAAATTCTTTCTTGGGAATTTATTAAATTCATTTGTTTTATAGTATCATTTTTATAGATTTGATAAGATTTTCTACAAAGACAGTAATGTGTTCTGAAAATAAAGATTGTTTTATTTCTTCCTCTCTAATCTGGGTTCCTTTAATTAATTTCCTATTCTTTATTACATTGGCTAGGACCTTCAATGAAATGTAGAATAGAAATGTGAGAGTGGAAAAAAAAAAAAAGAAATGTGAGAGTGGGCATTCGTGCCTTGTTTGTGATCTTAGGGGGGAAGCATTTGGTCTTTTACTCTTAAGTATGATGGTTGCTGTAGGTTTATCATAAATATTCTTTATTATACTGAGAAAGTCCCCTTCTTAGTGTTCTGAGAGTTTTTTTTGTTTTGTTTTTATTCTTATGTTAATCCCCATACATTACATCATTAGTTTTAGATGAAGTGTTCCATGATTCATTGTTTGTGCATAACACCCAGTG